GAATTGCGGACGGATTAACTGGCTTGGGCCCTGCCAGCTGGAACAACTCGTGTGGTTGTTCCGACGACCGGACCACCTGTGTTGTGATTGCAAGCGGCGTGAGTAAAGTTTTTTACAACCAATAAGTTATGTCTGCCTCTCCATTCACCAGCCCGCCCTGATGTACGAGCGTAACTCGAGTCGGCCCTGGCTGTCCGAGACAGTTTTCACAGTTCACTGGAAGAACAGTTTACACAGACACTTGACTGGGATGGTTTAGTCAGGGATGATCCTGTTTTGAACAGGGGGCTGAATTAGATGACCTCATGATCCTTTCCTGCCCTCCTTTCATACGATCCTATGCAATCTATGCCTGTCTTTGTCTATAAAATGGAGCTATGGAATGTGGGGATGAAGTCCATCAATGACAACTGAGTGCTACAATGAAGAAGGCCTTGCACATAGGTTGCTAGAATGAATGAAGTTTAGAAATCCTTATATTTGTCAGTGGAGAGTTATAGGTATGTTTCTAAATGAGGTACAAGAATTTTGGCCAAGATTTTGCTTGCTTTTTTTTTTTTTCTTTTTATCAGGAGTACAACGTTGTGTTTTCATAGTGTAATCAGGCTGGTGGATACAACTTGGTTTAAATGGGAAACTTTCAGACATTACTACCTGAATCATGCTAACTGGCGTTCAACAAAAAATATGTAATATCGTGTAATATCATGTTCTGGGAAATTAGACCATTCTTCCTTCTGTTAGTTTTCTTGATTGGGCTTTTTAAAACAAAACAGGCCTAGATTTTATTTTGGACTCAGAGATGAACTGGAACACAATCTCAGTTCTCAGGGCTTAATGTAATGTAAAGTTTTATACTCCCAATGCAATAAGCTAACCCACAAGCTACATTTTTAGTATTTTTTCTAACTGTACCTTTGTGTTCTTAAAGATGCAACAAACAGGTCAATCCCGGATGTCTGTGCCACTTGCCATATTCATGCCACATGTCACCAAAAAGAAGGCAAAAATGTCTGCATCTGTAACTATGGATTTGTGGGTAATGGCAGGACTTATTGTCAAGGTAAGCTGTGTTCTTTTTTAAACATAGAATCATCAAAAATTACGGTTGGAAGTGTGCAATTTCTAACAGTCTGGTTTAGAATGATGCTGCTTAGATCTTGGGAATGGAAACGTTTCTAAAAATTTGTCCAAAACCTATAAGGCCTATAGTTGTTTTTGTAATTATTATTTGTAAAAAATCTTATAAAATGTGGGTTCATCAGTTGCTTTTAAAATAAAATAAATATTTTTGTGCCCTTCACACTATCAAAAGACGTATTAGTAATATTATATCTTTACTGCTCTTTAAATTCGGAGATACTTGATTCAATTTCCACATAAAGAGACACTGCGAAGTTACATGTTTTACAAACCCCAGAATTTTGACCATGTTTTCCCCCAAATTGAAGGCATTAAAAATCTTCGTATATTTTTTTAAATTTTCAAGGAAATAGAAAAGTAATAATTTCCCCCATTTTTGTTGCAAACAAATCATTTTTTCACTGAGAACCAGAACATGAAATGGACTTTTAACAAAAGAATCACTTCACTGATTTTTCCAGTTAGGATGATGACTTTAAAACAGGGGTGTCAAACTGAAATGGTCCCACGGGCCAGTTGAGTGGTATGGGACTGGTCTGCTCCCGCTTCACATGCTGGATCTAGTACTTGTGGCACTCAGTCTGGCCAATACAGGACTGCACCTCTCTTATCAGATTGGGATGCGAGTAGCACTGCTCCCTCTGAGTACCCATGGAGCTGGGGGGGAAGGGGGCGCAGGGTCCCAGTCTAGCCACATGCATGGCCATCACTGTGGGACCCAATGATGTGGTCCTTGGGCTGTATCTAGTTTGCAGGCCATATCTTTGAATCCCTGCTTTAAAATACTTTCAGTTCTTAGATTCAGAGGTGGTGGTGTTAAGATATATAGAAAAGTATGTTTATTATATTTAAATGTGTACCATGTATTAAATACTAGCCCATACATACAGTATCAAAGTGTTATCCAGGGACAGTGTAACAAGTGGGCGTCCCAGGGCTGGTCAGTTGTTGGCCCACCCACTTGCTTCTGGGCTAACCGCCCGCCTTCCTCATCTGCCACACCTTGATGTTAATGATTACAAGATGTTACCTAGGTGGGAGGCTGCCCATTTACTAGCGCAATGTTACGGGCATTACCCACAACTCCTACCTTCCCTTATTGTGTCCCATGTCTTGCAGATGTTTCTCCCTCCAGTGGCTCCTACTGGGATCTGAGCTCCGGATTCTCGCCAGGGCTCTCATTCGCCACCAGAGCTTGTGGTCTCAGTGCCCTCACCCTGGGTTCTGTCCTTACACACACATACTCTGGGCCTCCAAGCCCTGGGCTCCAGGTCCCACATACTAAGCTCCAAGCCTGCACACTCCAGGCCTCCAAGCCCGCCCCATGGGATTGGGGCTTCTTGACCTCCCTGGGCTCTCCCCTTATCCCTGGCCCCCGGAGCTTCCTTAATAGCTCCCCAAAGCTCATGGCCCCACCCCCCCTTGGAGCTTCACTCTAGCTCCTATATGCAGCCTCAGACCTCCACCGCAGAGTCTGGGCACTGCCACAGGTCCCTCCACCAATCTGGGTCCTGCCTCAGTACTCTCGGTGAGTCTGGACTCCCCCTGCTTGAGCTCACCCAGCAGGGATGTGGGACTGAAGTTAGGAGGTGCCCCATACTTGCCTTTCACTGGGGAGGTAACTGGCCTGGCATGTCTGAGGGACTGTCCCACTACAGACAGTCCCACCAGGCCACCCATTTCTGGCAGGGTGCAGTTTTCAGTCATATCCCATACCATGGGGCCTTGTCCTTCCCCATAGCCCCAGCTCTTACTTCCAAGGATGTTCCATGGGTAGCAGCTCAGTAGTTGTTGCTTCAGCTGCAGCAGCAAACTGCTGCTGTTTTGCTGTTCAGGGCCCTGCTCTTGCAGGCAACAGCTGGGCCCTGTTCCCCAACCAGGCAGTGGTGCCCAATTGGGATTGCAGGCAGTTGTGGACTGCCTTGGTGCTGCTGCTCAAGCCCCTGCAAGTAACAGAGCACCCTGTGTTCTGTTACAGACAGTTACTATAGGTTGCACCAATACAACTGGTAGCTGGCAAGAAATCATTTATCCTGAGTTATGAAATTACAAAAAAATCAAAGCAAGCAGAAGTCTGATTTCTTGAGAATGATGGGCAAATTTTATTTGAATCTCTTTGATGTATTTTTGAATACGATGACAGATAAAGACGAGTGCCAGATTGGAGCCAGCAAGATCTGTGGAGAGTATACATCATGTCATAATACTTATGGAAGTTTTTTTTGTGTTTGTCTGGATGGGTACCGTCCCTCTAACAACAACAGGACATTTATTCCCAATGACGGCACATACTGTACAGGTAACTGAAGCAACAAGACTCAACTTTCAGAGCCACCTCTTTGGCAAACACTTTTGTTTCTTTGCAGTCACATTATTTATTTAAAAAACTCACATGCAAGTAGTTAACTCTTACTCACAAATAACCCATGGCCCAATTATATACGCACTAGCTACACATGTTATTCTCATGCTGTGAGCTAGGCCGATTATATTCTCCTTTCTTCTACTTTTCTTTGTTCTGTTGATGAGCATGATTGGTGCAAAGCTGTTTTACTGACCAAAAGAAGCTGCCATTAAGAAAAAAGGATGATTCACCTTCCCCTACTTCCAGCTTTTCCAGTTCTTTGTTACTGTGGGGTTTCCTCTTTTAGGCAGAGTATAGACTTGAGGGCACAGACAGAAGTGCAGCTCCCCACTGTAACTCAGAATGGTTTGCAGGAAGTGTTCTGAGTTACAACAAGTCCCTGGACCAAACAGAAGTTCACTGTTGGTTCCAGGAGGAAGGAGAATCTAGCTCCTGGGTGGGAGTCTGTAGCTGGTTTCCCCTAGTAATGACCTCTCCTACCTCTCAGCCTGTCCCTATTTTCAGAATGGGAGGGGGAAAGGGAGCAGAGGGACCTTGTTCTAGGGGTTCCCCAGCCAGTGCTGGAGGGTGAAGTGGGTGAATTGGTAAATGCTGCATACGTGTAGATGATGATGCTTTACTGTGCCGTAGATTAGTCTACTGTGCAGTAAAGCGTCTTGCGTAGATGTGCGCAGTACATTCCAGGATCAGTCCCTCAGATGATAGAATTTAAAAAGTAAATCCAATTAAAAAAAGAGATTTATAATTTTTGTTTGGGATTCCAGATATAGATGAATGTGAAGTGTCGGGCCTCTGTGGCCATGCAGGTCAGTGTGTGAACACCTTTGGAAGTTACAAGTGCAACTGCATAGAAGGTTACAGACCAGAAAATGGAACAGAATATTTTAATTCATCTAAGATTTCATGCAGACGTAAGTGCCTGTGGATATTGTTTGTGCTACAGATATAATCGGGTCCATCATGTTATGGCAGTACCTCCCCTGACCTATACTTCTAATTCCCCAGGGCAGAAGCCCTTTGTGTGGGCTTTACCTCTTGTTTTTTTTAATTCACCTTATTGAAATGATATTTGGATGGTAGGGTGACAGTAAATGTAGATTGCCACAGGCTCTCTGCAGTGGTTTGAGTATGTAAGGTCAGTGAAGTTTGCTATGCTACAGAGGTGATATAGTTAGGTTCTGAGTAAAGAGGAAATCTGCCATAACCTATTTGCATAACTGTGTTGCTTCAAGAGGAAGGGAAGAGGGGGATAAAGGGCTGGTGGACGAGGTCAAGTGGATAACACGAGCCTAGGGGAGAGGAATAATAAAATGATAAACCATCCACTTGTTACATACTGTGCCGCCTGCAAGAATAAGCGACTCTTGTTTTTCCTGCTATACACAGAAATTAATCTAAATTTGAAAACTTTTCTTTCTGTCTTCACTTCTTCTCCTTCCCTCTAGTGTAAGTTTGCATGGCAGTTCCATACCTGATGGGCACAGAAGGCTCACAGAGCTGACTGCAGTTCTCAGGGTGCATTGTATCCAGGGTGAAATGAACAGCTGGTGATTATGGAATTGTCTTGTACAGAGAATTGCAATGTTAGATGACAGAGCATATTGCACATAGTGTGTTGCCTTAGATCAAAATATCCAACCTTAAGTTTCCTAATTTTTAAAGGTGTTGATCAGCTGCATATCTCATGGACTTCAGACAAGATGAACAACTTAAATAAATTGACTATAATTACATGTGTACTGAATATCCCTCAAGTGGAACTTGACAAGTGGACACAGACAAGAAGGACCAGTCAGATTTGAACTGGTTAATCTAAATCAGCTTAGATTAGTCATTAGAAGCAAGATAGAGCAGTACCAAAGGACATACCATTTGGCAACTGTTGATCCTTCTAGATCATGGTATATGCATGAGAGGTCACCTAGACCTTCAATGCATATGTCTAGGCAGTTCTTGGAGACCTTCCATCCTCCCTTTAGGGCACTGAGACAGAATCCAAAGGCCAGACTGCATCCAGACATTTGATCTCTCCTTGGCTATATTTGTACAAGCATCCAGGAATTGAGCCCATTGCTCTTGTGCGGTAGACAAGGATTCTACCACTGAGCCACAGGGGACTTCAACATGCCATTAACCTAGACCTTTCTGAGTATTGTTTCTATCATGCATGTGGAGATACACAGCCATTCACTCTTCTGATTTTTTTAAAATCTATTTCCTGGGAGAATGTTTCTGATTAATAGTCTGTAGCTGCGCAGGCAGGTCACAGCTACCATGAGGGCTGCTGGCTCCCAGTGGAGAGCCAGCATTTTATTTTTAGTTAGATTTTTTTCATGGATTTTGTGAACAATGTCTGATTCCAGAGAAAATTCCTGATTTTGTAATTTCCATGAAATCTGCAAAACACACCAGGCTTTTCTGGGCTGCGCTGCCTCAGGCCCCCCACCTCACCATCCACTCCGAGATGTGCAATGCCAGGGCCTGGACGTTTGGCCCCCTCCGGCCTGCGGCCCCCCCGGCCTTTGGGTAGCTGCTGCCCCCCACATGGCCGGGGCCGCTTGCAGCCTCCCAGCTGCCTGTTGGGAACAGCCTGGGCTACATGGCTGGCAGCAGCTGCCTCCTTGTCCATCTGTCTTTCTCTTGCCCTCTTTTCCTCTCTCTCTCTCTCACCCTCTTTTCCTCTCTCTCATCCCTTCCTCCTCTCAAAACTATGGCAAACAATTTGGCGTGCTACGCATTGCGTAGCACTTTACATTCCCCAGTAATAATTTGGCAGTTCATCCCTCCTAGCTCTGGACAACATCACCTCTAGCTCAGGTACATACTTGAGTTGTGCCCCCTGGTGTAAAAGGTGGCAACCCTACTCACACCAGATCAGACATCTGTCATATCACAGCCTTATATACACAGCCCTTCTTCCAACATATGGCACACATTAGTCTGTAAATATAAAATCCCCTGGAAAATTGAGTGTTGGGGTACTTATTAAATTTTTCAGAAGTTAGGGGGTACTTGCTACTTAAAAGGTTGAGAAACACTGGCATAGCGCATAATGAACAGAGCTGCTGGCACGAAAGCAAGCAGGCAAGCCATCCCCACCCCTGGCCACTGACTGGCTGTCATGCGGCCCCACCCTTTTCTACCAATTGGGCAAGTGACAGGGCTGCATGATGAACAGCCCTTTCAGCCAATCAGTGGCAAGGGGCAGGGTCATACAACAGACAGCTTGTCCAC